CCAACAAGTGTCCCCAACTCACCTCAATGACCCGACTCCACAACCTCCTCTCCTCAGATAAGTATCTCCACAACCACTTCCCCTATAAGGCTCTATTTAGACCCACCATAGACCGGAGACCCAAACCACCCCTACTAACCGGTTTTTTCACTTCTTCCCATTTAATCAAATCATATTTTCTACTCCTCTCATCATCCTCTCATAGAAATCTACATTGAATATTTTCCAATTTCTTAGCAACTTTAACAGGAATAGTCAATGCTGATAAAAAATAAATAGAGAGATGGATAAAGGTGTTTTTTGATAAGTGGTAACCTTCCCTTTTTTGAAAAAATTTCTTTTTCCTCCCTGCAAGTCTCCTCTGAAATAAGTCAATCACTGGCCCAAGTTCTCATATATTCAAATTTAGCTCCTAATGGTACACCCAGGTAGTTAATAGGCAACTGCACTGACTTGCAACCAAAAACCTCTGCCAACCTGTTGCCATCACCCCTATTCCCCAACTTCACCAGTTCAAACTTAAACAAGTTTATATTCAACCCAGAAACAACTTGAAAACAGAGAGGCACACATCTAAGATTCAGGATCATCTCCTCCTCTGGTTGTCAACCAGCCACTAAATAGTCCACAAAATCCAGGTTTCTTGTTACTTGCAAGGAAATATGCATAGGCCTTGCTTCCCTTACACTTACAGCCAAAATTTTTCAAGAAATAAACCCCCCAAAGACAGACAACTTTCATCACATGTTTCCATCCAATGACATGTCCATCACCAGTCTATTATATCTCAGAAAGCAATAAACTGAGCAACACTACAAGGAACAGGAGTTCAAACTTTCTATTCACACATACTCCCATTCCTTAATTTTATATCACATATTCTTCTTCCTTTTTGTATTACAATTTCTTGTTTAAAATTGATTTCTATTTTCACGGACTCGCATTTCTTTCCCAGATGGAACTTTCCATATAATAGATTTTTTTCAGGCAAATGATTTTATTTGTACTAAATACGTTTATTAAAGCTTTCATCACATTGTTATACTGAAGATAAGGAAATACCAAAACTACGAAAGGATGGTGAGAAGAATTATCTTGTGAACCTTAGGGAGTGAGGGCAGATGAGAGAGGAAGAAAGAGTACACACACCACTTCTGTGCCTGACCATGCCATTCACCCCCCCATAGACGATTCACTTTGGCTTTCACAGCGGGAGGGAAGTCATAAGTCAACCAATGTGGTACCTGCAACCATAATCTTAATTAAGAAAATGAAACAAAAAAGGGTTTCTGATATCACACACCTAAACACATCTTAAGCTTGCACATGATTCTTGACATAAAATACTTTATTTTCTCACAACCTCCATCACCTTGGTACAGTAGTTTAAACAAAGTCAAAAAGATTCTTTCAGAATATATCACAAAACCACAGATATGGAAGAGAAATTTTATTTCTCGTCTGATATTCTATTCGTCTAAGAAACATAAACATAAACCTGAATTTGAATCCCATTCTTCGCATTTGGATCACAATATATGCACCTCACAATTAATAATTTATTACCATCAATCAAACCCTTCAATTAAAAATATAATTTCACAAACTACAAAATCCATAGGGAAACCACCCATGAATATGTATTGCCAGTGCCATAAACAGCGTCAAACCGCTAATTTAAGTAAAAGAGAACCATCATTCCACAAACCTCTGCAATAATTTCGGCAGAAACAATTCCAGTTTCTTCTTGCAATTCCCTAATGGCTGCTGTCTTGGGATCCTCACCATCTTCAATACCACCCTGAGTTACAATCCGAAAACTGAGAGTCAAATTCAACTCTAGGATATACAGACAACATAAAATGACTATGTTATACTGTACTTGCTGAATGGCCTAAAACAAAGCACCACAAGGAAGATGAGAAGTCATGAGAATAAGACCAAATTTCTTGGTGGATAGGGAGGGCAAAGTAATCTCAATGAAGACTTTGAATAGTATCAAATGAATCCAGCCCAATGGCAAGCCTTTAATCTCCTTAAAAATATGGCTAACTCAAATTGGAAATGTTACCAAAATCAAGAAAAGCACATCAACAATCACCTTCACACTTATAATGTTACTGCAAGGAACAAATTAATGTACCTCCTATCCTCCACCACCACCTCACATAACAAATAAAGGAAAACTTTGGCAACTTGATCATGATGCTGTCAGTACCAAGTGAAATGCATGGCTGACCAGGTGAAATGTGCGGCTGATGTGTCATTGGGGAAATGTAGGGATTGTCTGATCTTAATTGTTTTTTTCTCTTCTCTCCCTACTAGAAGCAAATAAATAGGGCAGAGGAAAATTGAGGGAATATAGAAAAAACAAGAAGTCTAACAGACATCACAGCTTTTCTCTTTACAACAATTCCTCCTTTTTTTTCTGTATTTTCAACCTTTCTTCTCCCTGAATATGCTCTTATCTTCTGCTAAAGCCTTTAATACTGTAACTCTTCTTATTCCTTAGTTTCTGCATGCATCAAGCCAGGTTCCTAACAACTTGGTACGGGAGCCATTTCGACCTTGGTGATTATGCTTTCTCCTTTTGCATCTTCCTTCTAATTGCTTTTCTTTTCTCCAGTTTCTCCTTCCGTTGTTTCTGTTCTAATATACTTCAACCTAAAAAAATGATGAACATAAGATCAAACTTCCAAATTGATTCATGGGAAGAGAGCAAATACAGGCGGGGGCACCTAATCGAGGAATTGACGAGGATGCTGCAAACAAGCTACAAATAAGATCAAAGTTCCAAATTGATTTCTGGGAAGAGAGCAAATACAGGTGGAAGCACCTAATCGAGGAGTTGAAGAGGACGCCGCAAACATGCTGGAGGTTTTTTCTCTCCGTCTACACCAGCTTCATCCAATGTGAATTTCCAAGGCTGGACACAGCTTCAATTTGAGCAGAAAGCGACTCCAACACAGAGCTTCAACAATAATAGGAGCCGAGTGAAGGATGTTTGGTATATATCAAATATCACATTTACAAATTAGTATTGTTCTAAATTGGTAAGCAGATCTAAAAGATCAGGATGTTAGTGGATTAGCTTCAGGTTAACATGAATCCTTGAGGACAAGGACTATTTTCATGGAGGGAACAATGTCCGAAACGGGTGAAATGTATGACTGATCAGGTGAAATGTATGACTGATCTGGTGAAATGTATGGCTAAGGTGTCAATAGGGAGATGTAGGGATTGTTTAATCTTAATTGTTTTTGTCTCTTTCGTTCCTACTAGAGGAAATAAATAGGAGCAGAGTGAAATTGAGGGAATATAGAAACAATCAAGAAGTCTAATAGAAATTACAACTTTTCTCTCAATAACGGTTCATCCTTTCTCTTCTGTATCTTCAACCTTTACCCTTCTCCACAGATAGTTGAGGAATTAAAATTTCCACAGTTGGATGCAACTCATAACAAGGCTAAAAAATCTCAACAATTTTGTCCGCAACCTCCAGGCTATGCTGCAATGTAGGAAAAGGTGGAGTGGGTTTCACTAACTATAAAGCACATTACAAAGACATCTAGAGACAATGCACGATGGGGACGATGGAGTTGGAGCATTTCATTTGTGTTGAACCTCAGATGGATGGCTGTTCAAAAAAAAAAATCTGAACTCTGAAGGTACTGAAACTTTGCAAAAAGCCTTGGCAATATGGAAAGGAGGAGTGACTAAGGTTTTTTATGAGGTGATTGAACAACAACTTACAAGTATATATTCCTGATGTTTCAAGGGTCCAGGACTACTGTCTGGCTGAGGTGTAATGTTAACGGATTTTGATGTGGTTAATAGAGATGACATGTCGGAAGACTCCCTATCAGATAGGGTGTTGTGTGTAAAGTGGAAATCTCAAGCTGTTCTTCCCCTCCATTTTTGGATAAACATGGACACATGAGTATTGTGTTTGGCTGAAAGATTGTATAGCCTTGGAAATTTGTTGGCCAAAGGTTGATCCCCTACCAAAGTATCCTCCCAAAACATGACTCTAGTTCCATCTCCAACATAGAAGCACGTGAGTAGGGAAAAAATATTTAATCATTTTAAGGGTAATTTTCATTAATCACCTCAATTTGTTTATTTTATAAAGTTTATAAGCTCTTATAGAAAAAGTACCTCTACCAACTTCTAATAAACGACATTAAAGAACTTATAGACTACCTTACTTATAAGGGATTCATAACTACCAAAATTCCGCCAAATATTTTGAGCTCTTGAAGAGCTTATAATTTTCTTTTCAAAAAAAATATAAGCTAAGCCAAACATCATCTAGATGTGCATATGACTTTTAAACCCACTGCCTTACTAGTCATGTCTAGAATAGTTATGCATAGACAGGTCACTTCCATGATAAATTACACATTACGTCGGAAGTAACCAGGTAAAAAAATTAGTAGACATGAAGTCTTTACAATTTATACTTTTAACATTTTCATATCACTAGATAAGTGCTGTAATAATAACTAGTGTTTTCAGAGGAAACAGATCATCAACCAAGGTACCTGTGGCATCTGCCATGCTCCTGGGACATTCAACCTGGAAGCCACAAAAACCTGCAAGCAAATCAAAATTGTCAGCATTTCTTGAAATTCTCAATACAGAATGGAGAAAAGCAGATACACTGACTACCAACCATGCTTCTCCTGCATAAAGATTATGAATCCAAAATTACGGACAAATAAATGAGATTTGGACACATCTCAAAGAATTAAATCATACTACTGTTTCATTACAGATTCTTCTCTTTTTAATTTATGACCAACCTGAACAGCATAGATCCCTTGACCAAATTGTTAAGTAAGAGTAATATAATTTCTCCAGAGCAATCTCATTTATAGACAAAGTAAACAAATGGTTAATAAAATGTCTCCTCCAAAAGGTCTAAAATATTGTACATCAGTGGTATGGATTTGTAACTCAATCAATGAAAAAATTATTTGCTGAACTCAAACCCTTGAACATGTTCAAATAATTAAAGTTCTTACTGTTCCTTTGTGAAATTTGTTAAGAACAAGACCCAAGAAATACATGGATTAATCACCTACTCTAGGATATCGCACATGGATTAGTTGTTTGTAGTGTCTGAGATGGCTGAAAGAAATGTGTTTATAATGTTCTTTAATTACTTAAATTAAAATATTTTTAATAAATTAAGCAGTTATACCTTTTAAAAAAGTGTTGATTTCAAAAATAAGCGTATTTCTTTGTAGAAGTTACTGGAACATATATTACAAGTGTTTTACAATTTATAGCATTATATCATCATTAATTTTAAGTGGACATAAAAGAAGTCAGTTAAGTAAATCTATATAGATAAAAAAAAAAGAACCTGGTCTATTAGAAATCAGACATTTTCCTTCCTAAAGTTAATTTTGGTAACCTAATAACGTTAACTTACAGTATTATATTTATCATTAATTTTATGTGGATATAAGGAAGTTAAGTAAGTTTATTATATTAAAGATAGAAAGAACCTAAGCTATTAGAAATAAGAGGTTTTCCTTCCTAAAGTTACTTTTGGTAGCCTAATAAATGTTGTCTTCTTACCAAGGCAGCAATTTGGAGAAAGATACTTAAAGCCGCTTATATGCAGAAATAAGCAACCTCAGCGTCACCTTTTTTCCTAGAAGAATACAGGATTACGAGCCTATACATCCAAATGCTAATTTCGAATTTCCTTGTTTAACACGGCCACAAATCCGAAACACAGATGGTGATTACTGGCAAGATGTTTCTCCTCTAAACACTTTATTAAAAAAACGTAGTTCAAATGGTAATTAATTCAGAAACTTTTCTATCAAATAGACAAAGAAACCCACAAGAATCTTCCAGAGTTATGAAAATCTGAGTTGAATAACCAACTTTCAAGGGCCTTATTTTTTCTTTTTTGTTTTATTTTTGTTAGTTAGTGAGATCAAATCACTTGGCTAAATTTCTTTCCAACAACTTGCAAACAGGGTCAAACACAGCAAGTTACCTAACCAATTTTTCCCATTCAAAATTCATAACAGCTCCCTCTTCCATTCTCTTTCTCTCACCATTCCACATGTCCATACACGTAAAAAATCAAATTCGACACTCTTATGCACTCACTATACGATTCTCCTTCTTCACTAATCCGCTTCGTGCGATTCTACCACTGATTTTCAGGGAAAAATAAAAGAAAGAAGACAACAAGACAGAAAAAATTCTAAGATAGAGACAGAAAAAAAATCTAAAACTCGAGACAGAGTGAGGTGAAGAATCTGGACTGTACCTGATTATCGGAGTTTATGAGACAAACGCCGACGTTGGGGCGATAACCAGAGGGCAAATCCTCCATTGATGATTTTGATAACCGATAGGAATATCAGGCACTGCTCCTCAGAGCCAAAAGAGAGAGAGAGAGAGAGAGAGAGAGAGAGAGAGTGGAAGAGAGAGGAGTGGATGCCACGATCGCTATCAGAAATTCAGAGGGGAGAGAGAGCGTGGGGAGGGTTTATGGGAAGAAGTGACGCTGATCATGACAGGCGGTGAAAATGGGTGGCCACGACTCGTTTTATAGAGAGCACACGAGGCTGTTTCTTAGTTAAAAAGTCCAACCCCCTGATGATTCTTATCCTGCGCACCCCTCCTGTGCCAGGTTTCTTATTTCCGAAATCACGTAGGCTGTATTGTCAGGCGCGTGCCGCTGATCGAAAATGTTATAGGATGGGATGGTCCTTACATGTTCCTAATTTAGTTTTGTTCAACGAACGAGGACAAACTGGGATTTGTCTAAGTTTCGACTTCTCTTTATTACAAATATGAAAAAATAAAAAAAAAAATGAAAATGAGTTTAAAGTTTTAAGATCTAAGACAAACAGAAAGAAATTTTCATCTTACAGTGAGTCAACAATACGCCAAGAACAAGCAAATCCATGTTAGAACCATTGTCATGGCTGGATCAATAAATATTTTAAAAGAAGAAAATTTTGAGTTGCAGCGTTACTAGACAATTTTATTTGGACAATTTCTAAATAGAGGTGTGGTGTGATATATGTAAGTATAGCGCATAGGGGATTAACATCTGAGCCGGCGCGTGAAGAGCAGTCGATGCGGAGTCGCGGTGAAGCAGTTAGCGAGGGGGGGAGAAATTGCGAAGAAAATAGGTAAAAGACAGAGAAACCAAAGAGAGCCTAGTGGGCCATGGAAGGCGTTGACTTTATGAGTGCTGTGCAGAAGAAAGAGTAAGTGGGCATCGTTGACTTTTGAACGACGATTGTACGTTAAAGAGAGAAAGTGGGCCAGGATCTTTTTTTCTGATGATGAAACACATTAACCATGATCAAATAGTTTAATTAATACCGATTACCAATAGAATTTAATTAATAAAATAACAAGCTAATACTCCACCTCTAGTTCACAGTTGTCCTTCTTTGCTAATAAAGCAAATGTGATCTGCCGAGCTTTATGATATTTTATTATTAGTTTATTAACTTTTTATTAATATTTTATTTATTTTAAAATTTTATTATAATTTTTAATATGTGTTTGCAGACACATTTAAAACAATTTGTAGATTAATAAAACATACATGGGTGGTCAGAGCTACAGTGAATAAAACACCTTAGAGAGAAAATGTTTCATCCCCCTTATTTTCCTCGGTGCACATAACTTATATAGGATAATTTATTCTCCTATTATTATTATTATTATTATTATTATTAGTGCATAAACAACCTTAAAATAAGCTCGTAATTTTAACAAGTATTTTTTTATAAATATTAAGTTATTAAAGTATAAGACTAAATATACTATCAAGTAATAATTAAAATTTATTTATAATATCTCAAGTGATAATGCGAATTAATATATAAAAAATATGTTTATGAATATATCTTGTATAATCAAACTGATTTTAAAATTTAACTTATTGAATTTTATAAATAAAATATAAAAAAAGTTATATTCTTATTAATTTATCATTTTTTATCTTTAAAAGATCGATACAATTTATTTCATAATGTATTTAGATTCATTATATATTGATGTTTTAAAATAATATAAGAGATTATGATTAATGTTGGCACAAAATAAATTTAAATAATTTTTAATCAAATTTTCGCTCGTTTAAATCAACGAATAAGAGAATTTTTATTTTTTTACTAATTTTTTATTTTTAAACCTTTAACATACTACCTAATATGATTAATAAAATGTTTAAATTTAATAAGTTTTGAATTTTTAAACTTTATTGTTTAGATAATATTAACTCGTAATATACTAATCTAACCAGTATTAATATTTATAAACTTGATGCTGAAATACAATTATAGTATTTGTTCTCGTTAATTTAATGTGTGATATGTTAGTCACCCACTCACATTTAACGGAAGTCAGTTTCCTATAATAATTTACTAATAGAGATCCTAAAATATTGCTCGTATGTTGTGTACTGTTGCCAAAATCAAGCTTGGATCCCATATAATTTAATTATTTGTAAGTATTTAAGATATCTGAATATGTTTATGAATATTAAAAGTTTGTTATTGCATTTACAGATATTTAGAATAATTGGATAAAACAATAAATATATAATTTGATATTTATTATCTCCTAATCAAATAGGTTTAAATAAAATTTTCATTTATTTACTTTTTCATTATATTTTTAATACATAATCTAACAATTTAATTTATTTTAATTTATATTTTTCACAATTCTTGCTATTTTTTCATCCCAATTAGGGATAATATGTTAGATTCATAACTGAATTTTTACTTGACATTATTTTAGTTTTATTTAAAAACAAAAAATATAAATACAAGTAAATATATTTTTAAATAAAAATATGTATATAATATGATTAGATTCGGAATGTAAATGAAAATGTAATATATGAAGAAAATTTTATTGAAATTTTTGCAAAAATTTATTTCGAACAAACATTGAAGTAAAATAATCATATTATTAACAAAACAAAAATCAGATTATGTTTGCAAAAATTCAAATTTTATTAAGAGATGATGCTTAGGATTTGGTGTAAAATTAGAATAATAATACATTATGGATTAATCAAATTTGATGATATAAAATATATTATTATACTTCTAACGCAATTTTAATAAAATTAAAATTTATATTTTTAATTATGAAATTACAAATAAAATCTACGAAATTTGTGGATTTATTGAAAGATTAGCGTTTGACTTGCGATCCCAACCCAACTAGAAGACATACCTTGAGTTCCCTCAATCCAAGCTTCAGTATAGACTGACGATTTTCCCGTTTCCCATTTGTTGTGTCATAAATTTAAAATGAAAAATGAATGTTTCAAATATTTTTCCGCAGAAAAAGTGAGAGAGAAGGAAGCAAACGACAGAGAAAAAGGAGGCAAGAGGCAAGAGGCAAGAGGCAGAAAAATTAGCGGGAGCTAATCGGGAAGCAGAGAGTACAGAAGAAACTAGAAGGCAAAAGAGAAGAGAAAGCAAAGACAACCAGACGCCGCACCTCATGACCGTCCGACCCCTCTCTCCACTTTAATTGATTGATTTGTTTGTCTCCCATCGTCAACAGCCAACAAAAAGTAAAATCGGAGCGTTGAAATAACGGATTCTGATTCTTCTCTCGCCTGAGAGAAAATGGACGACGAGGTTGTTCAGCGAGCGTTCCAGGAAGGAGGAAGAGACTTTTTCCAACAGCCACCCTCCACTTCCTCTTCTTCCCCTTCCATCCTTCAATCACTCCCTCTCCATGTGGTCTGCCTTCTCTCCTCTATTTCTCCTTCTCTATGTACGTGCATGATTATATCGTCTCGGTTATTACTGAAATTTGTTTGTCACTTTCCCTATTTTAGCGTGTGTAGGTGTGAGTTATTTGGTTCACGATAGCAATAAATTTAGAAGACAATTTAATTTTGGACGTTGGGTTGTTCAAAATTTTTATTTATCAGGCAGCAATCAATTTTTAATGAGTATTTTTTTATTATTGGGTAATTGGAATTCGTTTCTATTTTCACATATTGAATTCTGCTGCCTGTCGAGGAGTCAGAAATTGATGTCAAATGTTGTTTGAAGTGAAACTATTGGTCGTATACCATGGTGATTTCTCCAAGAAATGTAATCATTCTTTGATTTTGGTATAAGTGATTTTCTTTTTATTTCGTTTTGCTGTCTATTTCTTGGTTGCACCAAAGGAGATTGGGTTTCTCCAACTTGACTTATATTATGCATTGGTTTGGAATAGTGGCCTAGCACGCAATTACAGTGTTCACGCTGCTAATATGCTGTCTGCAACTCGTGCTCTGGAATCATCGGTATCTATCTTTGAATTTTGTTGCCATGAAATAGAAAAGGGACTCACTCAGGTGGAAACTAGGAGAACTGGTTATAACCAGCCCCATGGTCTTTTAACCTGGCGTTCAAAGAGCAAGCATGGTTTTGACCTTTATGTCTTCTCAAAAGTCTTTTTTCATATCCCATTGAGTTGTTAAAGATGGTTATATATTGGTGGGTTGGAGAATCTATAGCAGTTTATGGTGTGTATTTTAGGTTTTAATCATGGATATCAATATATGCTAATTAAGATTGCCATGCGGGCTTCATCTGTGTAATTGGCATATGCTAATAGAAACTTTGTTTTCTTTTCCTCCTACTGTCATGTTTCTGATTATCTTCTCTAGTGTCCCCTCTACAAGTTTGTGGAAACATTAAAAAGTGCCACATCTGTTGTTGGTGTATGAAATTCTTTAGAAGAGGTCGCCTGTGAACAGTTTTCATTTTTTCTCCACCCAACTTGATATGTGTAATGCTGGGCTTTCTATGTGGAATGCAAGACTTATAGTTTCTCTAGACTAATTTTAAACTTGAAATTATCATCATGTTGTTGCGGATATGTCTTGATATCTCTAGAAGTTCATGGAGAAGATTGATTAATGCTTGGTCTTATGGTGCAGTCTTTTGATCATGGATATTACTTATTAGTAAAATCCATTCAAGAACTCAGAGAGAAAAAGGATGGCATTGTTATCATTGGTATAGGTGGTCCCAGTGGTTCGGGTAAAACAAGGTGTACCCTCTGTTAAACCTATTGTTTCTTGCACTTTTAGAATAGTTAACCATGCTATTTGCTCTATTTGATAGCATATTCTAATTTTTGGTGTTTATTTGATGGTCTATGAAGCTTAGCAGAGAAGGTGGCATCTGTAATTGGTTGTACTGTCATATCAATGGAGAACTATCGTGCTGGAATTGATGAGAGCAATGATTTGGATTCATTAGATTTTGATGCATTGGTTCAAAATCTTGAGGTTTGCAGTTTTTCTTAATCATGATTCATTATTGATATACTTGATTGGAGAAGTTTATGAGAAAGCACCGATTAGGGCCCCCTAGTTACTGTTTTTAGGAAGGTTTTTGAACCCCCCCACCCTCCCAACAAAGCAAAAGAGGAAAAGGAAAAATAAAAATTTGAAAGTATATTTCTAATAGTTTTTCTTCTTCTATATAAAAAAAGAGACTGCATGTGACTTTGAAGTTTTATAGAATTGTAATAGGATTACTCACATTTTCATCTTCAGAAAATCTAAAATTTCAGTGCTCATATGACTAGAGTCGTTTTCCTTCACATCCAGTTCTCTGTCTGACCAACTTTTGCTTAGATTAACCATTATGTTCACATACTTACATTTATCAGATATGTTTGGTAGTGAGGACTGTGTGTATATCACTTCGAGTTTACCTTTCTCTTTAGGAATCTTAGGATGCCTTTATTGTTTTTTTTTTTTCCGAAATAAACTAGGATGCCTTTATTGTGAAAATAGGATCTAACCAAAGGAAAAGATACTTTGGTGCCGGTATTTGATTTTCATCAAAAAAGACGTGTTGGTTCAAAAGCAATAACAAGTGCTTCATCTGGACTGGTAAGCTGCTCTTGTTATGGTTATAATTAATTGCTAATTGTTACGACTCCGATAGTTTACTGATTCTTTTAACACTTTCTTTCTCAGGTGATAGTTGATGGTACCTATGCTCTAGATGCAAGATTGCGTTCTTTACTTGATATTAGGGTTGCAGTGGTAAATTTCTTTCTCTAGGCATCACTAAATTGAGTTGGGTTTTGTAGAGTTATCAGTTCATTATCAGATAGGCATAATTAATGATCTATAATTATTTTAATTTATTTATCGTTATTTAAAAAAAAATAATTTATTTATCGTAAATCAGGTTGGTGGTGTTCATTTTAGCCTCCTCTCAAAAGTTAGATATGACATTGGGGACTCTTGTTCTCTTGATTACCTTATTGACAGCATTTTTCCATTGTTCAGAAAGCACATTGAGCCAGACCTTCATCACGCACAGGTTGGTGTTTCTATGTTCTTGCCAATTAAAATCTAACAGCTATATTCCTTATTTGTTGAGCTTATTGTGCAGATTAGAATTAATAACAGCTTTGTCTCATCATTTAGGGAAGCAATCTACAAGCTGAAGTGCAGAAATGAGGCATGTAATTATTTAGTAGCTTACTGGCATATAAACTTTTTTAAAGAACTTACTGTAAATAATATTGTAAGCCTACTTGCATCTTTTCTCTTCCTTATGAATATAGCAAAGCTAGATACATTATTAGGGGAAGGACAAGTTTGTTTTATAGTTTCAGGAAGATTTTAAGAAGTAGCTCATTGTTGTTCAATCTTTCTGATTCTTTTGATGATTCCAACTGTAAGAGATATAGTGCAGTATTTGAGTGGTCTTGAGTGTCATTGCTTCCTCAATTTTATGCACATAGCTCTCTTTTTCTCTCACAGTTGAATCTTGTCTCCAATAAGTGAAGAAAACAGTTATAATTGTATATAGCTATAAGCCTATTTGTCCTTAGCTAGGGTGTACTAGTAAAAAGGTCAGTGTGTCCAACTTAATTATGTCAAAGCATGTTTATGCAGAATCTTTGGGAAAGGAAAACAAATTAACAAAGTATAATGGTGCGAACTGCTTTTATGTTTATTCTAAATTGCATATATATTGCCAAATAGTGAGTACTCAAAACTGGAAAACTATTCAATTAATAGTCTAATTGACTACAGTTCCATTAATTCTCTTTGCAAATGGGCAAGTTTCCGAAATTTTGAAATTTCTTTCTTTCTTTCAACCATTTTTTCCTGTTCAAATTTACTGATGCATGTTGCACGGTTGAAACTTGAATTCGCAATTTTCCTACAGAAGTCACAAACTCAGATGCATGTGTTTGGAGGTGCAATTGCTGGTTTTATGTGGGTGATAATATCTGTACTTTATTCATGCACTTCCATGTTAGGAACAACCTTTCCCTAAATCTGATGATGCTTGTTAAAGAGTTATGGCAGACTCTGCTGCCATTCTTTAGAGCTTGGTGAATCTTGTGTAGATGTTCTGCTATTGCATTATGGGATTGTCCTTGTGGACAATCTGGAATAAGTTTGTTTTGGGAAAATCTGAAATTCGACATAGAGAACAGTGTAACAACTTTACTTAAATATGTTGTCATGTTCAAATAGGGGATGCATTTGTCTGTGGCCACTAGATGTTTTGTTTTATAACTGTGTACTTATACATACTCATCAACTTCTCCATCTTTCGTCAAAACATTAACTTGTTGTGGCAGGCAGCGGATGGACATTCTTCTATTGTTCTTCAAGGAAGTGAAGCACAGACTGATAAGTGAGGGTTGATTGTAAACAGACACATATATGGTTACTTCTCTTAGATTTTTTCCAAAGAAGTTCACTAGATACTTCTATGTTGCTTTCAGTTTTATTGAGATGTACCTGAGGCCTCCATCAGCAAGTGAAGAAGCAAGGATTAATGATTGGATTAAGGTGCGACAAGCTGGGATTAGGTATTATCTGTCACTTGGTGACCAACGGATTGTTGACAAAAATTTTATTATCAGGCCAAAGGCAGAGTTTGAGGTTAGAAATGATTTCCCAAATTCTGGAGAACAAATATTTCAGACTGTCTTTCTCCCTCCATTCAACACGTGCAACTAAAAACTAATTCGTATATTAATTGACCAAGGCAGTGAGTTCATGTAGCAAGCACATGAGTGAGCACAAAAATGTCAATCAACAAAGTTTTATTTGTTATGAGAATTTTGGGATTACATTAATGGTGTTTTAGATTCTATCACTAATGTCATGTAAAAATTTATGTTATTCTTTAGTTATTATTAAAAAACCAAGAGTAAATATCAGTCCACTTCTTTGGATCATATAGTTACTGAAATTTTGGATTTAATGGATAGTGTGATTGTTGGAAGTACTTGATTTTACATCTTATCTTCACATATATATAAGCATTTTGTTGAATGTTTAATTAGTTGACCATATATATATATTTTGAAATAATAATTAGTTGACCATATAAAATATAAAAATAACATAACTTCCTACAAATTATATTATATCGTGCATAAGATGTTTTAACTTATGTATTATAGTTAGATGGTTACACTTCTTTTATCCTCAAATCGTTCAGGTTGGGCGGATGACTCTAGGAGGATTGCTGGCCTTGGGATACAGTGTTGTAGTTAGTTATAAGCGTGCATCTACATCTGTTCGTGCAGGAAATCTTTCTGTGTCACTTGAATCGATTGATAGTCTTGGGGAAACATTTATAGTTATGAGAGGCACAGATAGGAAGGTAATAACTTAATCTTTTTGCTGAAGAAAGCATCTTGAAGCTTTTGGAAAAAGTATATCTTTTGCTGACAGATGCTAATTCAAACAAATGAAAAGGTTGTTTTATTCAAAATCCCATTAAAATCCTTCTTTCCTGCTTCACACCTCAAATTTGAAATGCATCACTCTCGTATAGAGAGCAAGGTTTTCACATCTTCTTAACTGAAAGGGGCTTGAAGAGCAATGTTCCTTTCTTTTGGGGGACTCCTGGAACAAGTCTAGAAATCTCTCTTCACCCACAACAGGACCAAAAGGAAAGGACTTTTCTTTCTTGGGGTAAGAAATTCAAATTTTGGTATAGAAACAGTGCCGGAGAAACTCTATCTTGTTCTCCTTTCTTTTTCTCAGATAGAAGAAATATTATTAAGAAACCAGAGGAAAATGACAGAAAAAAAAGGAAGATAGGGATCATCCTGCAGAACTTTAAAATCACAACAACAAAGGAAAATGATATCACTTCAAGATAACAATTCAGTCCTTTTGCAAATATTTCCAGTGATTTGAGAAATTTGAGAATTCTATTGAGATCAGAGCAATGATGCTCTTAATTTAAGCTTTAGCAATCTTGTTTCTTTATCTTCTCACTGGAAGGGGCCGTGTTTATTAACAGGAGTCTGAGAGAAATTCTTAACCAAAAACTTGTATCTGTGTAATCTTTGTGTAGACAGTTGGAGCAGAAGTATTAAGACGGGGAATTAAGGGACCATGGATTACCAAATCATATCTTGAAATGATTCTTGAAAGGAAAGGTAGGAAATGTGTTTCATTCTAGTTGGCTGTCTGTTTTGAGTGTTCGTTATTGCTCTATATTAACTCCACTTGCAGGTGTACCACGCCTTAATACACCACCCCCTTTGTCTGGAACATCTGCGAGTAACACTCAAGAGAAGGTGATTTCCATGCCAAGACCTATACGCACTACAGGCCTGATTAATCGCCTCGAGGATTTGTCTCAGCCGTGGACTCGATCTCCCACAAAATCTAAAATGGAACCTGTGGTAGAAACGTGGTGTTTCATCTCTTCAGATGGTATACCTCCACTACTTGAAAACTTGTCTTTGTCCTTGAAATTGTTCTGGTCAATAATTATATCATTCAATATTATTGTGGAAGAATAGAATGTTATATTTATTATTGAATAATTGAGTCCTGTATATACATGGCTTTGAGTATAGGAAAAGAAACCCTGAAATTAATTACATAGGAGTGTTTTACTATTATATCTTTATATTAAATTATACATACACATTTTCCATTAAGTACGCAGTGTTAAACTTTCTCATGAAGCAACCACAGATTCGTCATCTTTCAGGGATACTATAAGACTGGCTCCAATGCCTGATTCGTATGATTTGGACAGAGGACTTCTTCTTTCTGTTCAAGCAATACAAGTAAGAACTAAGATAAGTTGATGAGAAACCAGATCGGAAACTGCCATAACGTATCTTATGTTCTCAAATGCCAACTAGATTATCTAGCTAGATAGAGAGGTTATTTGATTAATGTTTCAGGCTTACTAGAATATCTGGCTAGGTCCCCAAGTTTATGTTGTTTGCTTAACGTTTCAGGCTTTGTTGGAGAATAAAGGTCTTCCTGTCATTGTTGGAATTGGTAATTGCTGCTTTATAATCTCTGCACCTTCCCTTCCCAACTTTTTCTTTTTTTCCTGATTCATTGTATGGTCAACTATAATCACATGAAAGCAAGCTCAATTTTCATATCATGCCAGTTAACTTCGTAGCTCTGTCTTCTTTCACTCTTGAACTACTTTAAGGTTGTTCGTTTGCAGGTTATCTGATTTGGAGCCTGTTTGGCTGAATTTTTAGCTTGTGCTTTGCAAGGAAATATAGAATTTGGCCAAGCAGAAAAGATAGAAGTACTTTTAGTTTAAAACATTGGTGGATTTGGTTTTTGATAAAGATATTATAGTCTTAACATAGAACCTTCATTTAATGAATGTTTTGCCAATCTTTTCCTTGATTAGTTCATCTATTTGATGATTCTTTCAGTAAAAATGTAAGAACAATTTACCATTGATAATCTAATATTATATTAGATCACAAAATTTAGAACTAAAAAAATTAAACAATGAAGATTTAGGTGCATGTCAAAATTAATAATTGGAGAATAGAATAAATAAATAATGAAGAATAAGGTAAAATGGCATGTTGTACATTAATTTTTCAAGTTAATGCAAAAAATAGAAATTTCAAGGAAGCTTTTATAACAAAATTTAAATTATTTGATCTCAAAAATGAAAAATCTTTCAGAAACATTTTAATTATTTGGTATTGATCATTGATAATTTCAACATCTAACTATAGTTTTACATTATCATTGCGTCTGGTTCAAGTTTATTCTATTCTCCCTGGCTAAAGATCCTTAATTGTTTAATATATGTAATTAATAATAATTTATATGTTTTATATATAAATAAATCAACTTTCTGCCTACTTTCAATTCCATGATGGATTTTTATTCTCCTTTTCAGGGGAGGAATGAAAAACACTTAACTTCACTTGAAAAAACACCCTGAAGATGACAAAAAAGCCGAAAAAAAATCGCAAGAAAAAAAAAAAACAAAACCCCACAAAACACCAAAAGATTATAGGAACCCGATAAA